CGGGCTGCCTCCCTTCCCTGCACCCCCACCACGCAGCAACTCACCGCTCGGGAGGCTGCCAAGGGACCTGCGTGCCCGAGACATCAGTGCTACCTAGCTGAAATTCAAAACCAAAGCGGATCCTTCTCCTACCAAAAAAAAAAAAAAAAAAGAGATAAAAGAGAAAAATTATATCCTGTACAAAACTATCCTGTGTTCAGTAAAGTTTATTGTCCAGTCTTGGCTTTGGAGCGTTCACAATACAACTGTAACATAAGCCTCAGCAAGAAAATGAGCACATCCACAAAATAGTCCATGACACATCTGAAATACAAAAATTGAAATATCCTTATAAAACATTCAGACACAAGATTGATAGATGGATACAATCTTTTATTCTTTTATTATTTTTTTTGTACCTTTCCATTTATTCCAGAAAAACTTTCTATAAAAAAATCATTGCATCTTTTGGAATAAATCTTTAAAATCGTTTCTTTTAAAATGCACCTTTCATTTGTACCCCACTAGTTAAATATATTATTGGTATTCTGCAAATGAATCACACCAGAGAACATTCACAGTTTGTGTATCTTGGCCACTTGGATGTATTTTTCCTGCTGTAGGACAAGCATGCTGAGGATGAAAGAAGGCAAGGAGGAAACCAGAGAGTGGGTTCCACAGTGTTTGTGCCCAGACATCGCTAGTGGGGAGCGCTGAGGGGACACCCAAACGCGTTTCGGGAGCACTGAGGGGACACCCAAATGCGTTTCGGGAGCACTGAGGGGACACCCAAATGCGTTTTGGGGACACTCAAACGTGTTTCAGGAGAGCTAAGGGGACACCCAAACATGTTTTGGGAGCACTGAGGGGACACCCAAACGCCTTTTGGGGGTGCTGATGGGACACCCAAATGTGGTTCGGGCATGCTGAGGGGACACCCAAACACATTTTGGGAGTGCTGAGGGGACAGCGCTGAGGGGACACCCAAACGCGTTTCGGGAGCGCTAAGGGGACACCCAAACATGTTTTGGGAGCGCTGAGGGGACACCTAAATGTGTTTTGGGAGAGTTAAGGGGACACCCAAATGCGGTTTGGGAGCGCTAAGGGGACACCCAAACGCGTTTCGGGAGCGCTAAGGGGACACCCAAACATGTTTTGGGAGCACTGAGGGGACACCCAAACGTGTTTCGGGGGCACTGAGGGGACACCCAAATGCGGTTTGGGAGCGCTGAGGGGACACCCAAACACATTTTGGGAGCGCTGAGGGGACAGCGCTGAGGGGACACCCAAATGCATTTTGGGAGTGCTGAGGGGCCACCCAAACGCGTTTCGGGGGCACTGAGGGGCCACCCAAACGCATTTTGGGAGAGCTAAGGGGACACCCAAATGCATTTCGGGAGCACTGAGGGGACACCCAAACGCGTTTCGGGAGCACTAAGGGGACACCCAAACGCGTTTCGGGGGCACTAAGGGGACACCCAAACGCCTTTCGGGGGCACTGAGGGGACACCCAAACACGTTTCTTACGAGACCCGAGCGTTCAGAGGCAGGACAGCGGTGCGGCACGGCTGGAGCAGCACAGTCGGGCAGAGCGTTTGCAGGTGACGTCATGTCAGGTTTTACCTCACCTATTTCAGGGTCCAAGACCCGATGGCCCTTGCAGGACCCGCTCGGCCATCGCTGGCCCCGTGCTCTGAGCAAACCCGGGCTTGCGTGGCTGCAAGACGCCGGATTTACACGCGTGAAAGCGGAGTTTGGCCACATATGGTGGGGCAGGCTCCCACCCCCGGGTCCGGCCCCTTCCCCGAGCCCTGGGACGCACACGCTAAACCTTTTACGTTACTCAGCCCAATGGGTCAGGCTCCTTCTCTAAGATTTTCCCACCTGCCCATCCCTAGCCTGCTCCTGGGAGCCCTGGGCTCCCGTTTTAGGCTAGCCTAATTTCTGACTGAAGATAAGTCATGGGAAAAAACCAAACAAAACATTTGAGAAGCTTGGGAAAACGGCCTTCTAATTTTTCTTTTTTTTTTTTTTTTCCCCATCATGTGTAAGGGAGAGGAAAAAATCCATTTATTTTGCCCTTAGTCTCCAAGATACAAAGTAGTTTTGTTATTTAAAACCTTAACATAGATCTGGCCATGGGTTGGGCCAGGAAAGGCGGGTGCATGTACGTATGGAGGGGGTGAAATTAAATAGCTCTGCCCGTAAGTATTATTGTTG